TATTTGATATTTTTTAAAAAAAGGCAGATGTTATAATATGATATTGTCTCGATATAATTTGATGAATGGTAAGAAGGAAAAAAGAAATACAATAGAATCCCTGACAACCGGACTAAGAAGGCTGTCCGGATATGAGGAATTGCTTACAAAGTCCGGATACGAGGAGTTATATATTTAGATTGAAATAAAACTGAAATCAGGTGTAACATTTATTTTCAGTGTTTTATAGTAAACAAAATAAGCTAATGGTGAGTAAAATATAATGGAACTGATTTTAAGGAAAAAGAAATAAATTATGTTAATGAAGATTCATTAAATTAAGTATGCCACGTATGCAAAACAAATAATATTTTAATGGCTGTTGCATGATGATTCTTTCTCTTCTAATGTCATTCTCAACTTTTTCCGCATTTCGTTTTGCTTTTATTCTTGAAATTCTTTAAACGAAAGACACTTTTTAACTCTGCGTGAGTTATTGCAATCGTCATAGCTGAATGCTGGCTTTCTTTCCATAAAACTGACAACTTTTTAAATAGCTTTTTCAATTTCAGTCCAGGTTTCGTCACAATCATGTTTTTTTTTATTTCCTTGTTCATTGCGACAATGTGAACGGTGGAGAATAGTATCTTTTGAAGATTTTACATCATACAATATTGACTTTCCTATGTTGAACTCAGCTATTAGTTACAATGAACTTTCACCAGTTGTTTAGTCTGTTTAAAATTTCCACTTTTTGCAATAATGCCAAAGTTGTTCTTTTCCTCTTATTTACATAACCTTTTGCACCAATACAAGCCATTAGGGTGAATTAAGCATAAGCAATTATCCAAAATAAATTTCCTGATAAGCAGAAATTTCAAATCAGTTACATATCACCCAAATAGTTCAAATATACACATCAAAATCATGTCCGAATATGCGGGATTGCGGATATGAAGCACTCCGGATATGAAGGATTGCGGATATGAGGGATTCCGGATATGAGGTACTCCGAATATTAAGGATTCCAGATATGAGGGATTTCGTATATGAGGCACTCCAGAGATGAATGATTCCGGATATGAAAGATCCCGGATATGAGAGATTCCGGATATGAAGGATTCCGAATATTAAAGATTCCGGATATGAAGGATTTCGTATATGAGGCACTCCGGATATGAGGGATTCTGGATATGAGACACTCCGGATATGAAAGATCCCGGATATGAGGGATTTCGGATACGAGGGACTCCGGATATGAAAGATCCCGGATATGAGGCACTCCGGATATGAAAGATCCCGGATATGAGGGATTCCGGATATGAGGCACTCCGGATATGAGGGATTCCGGATATGAGGGATTCCGGATATGAGGCACTCCGGATATTAAGGATTCCGGATATGAGAGATTCTGGGTATGAAGGATTTCGGATATGAGGGATTCCGGATATGAAACACTCCGGATATGAAGGATTCCGGATATGAGGTATTCTACTCTATAATACTCAATGTACAACATCTCGATACTGTTGATGATGACCCCACAGACATTGAAATTAGAAGGAACATCTTCAACTGTGGCCACAGTTAAGTAAGTATACTGAAAACTAGGCATAATGGCAATTATTCTATCATTAGAAATTGAAAAATAATTTCTTTTATTGAATTTAAACAATGAATTGAATTTCTGTACGTTTTTTTTAAATATTAGTGTATTAATCGTTCAAATTTGATTAATTTTTTTACGAGTAAAATTTCTGTCCGAATTTCTGTGATGTGGAGCTATCCCTATTTACGATATCTATATTCGGACTATTGTCGTCATCTTTGTTGTTGTTATCACAACGTTTCAGACGTTGTACCCACCCAACCGGCCTTAATCAGTTGTATACCGATCTGAATAACCTACACGGAATTCAGAACTGAACCCTTTATTTAATCTACGTGGGTATGTTGTTCTTGTTTCACTGCCCATGTCTAGGGATATCTCATCTTGTTCTTTTTTATTTTTAGTATTGCTCAGTTATTGCGCGCCCGTTTCCCTTGATTCTAAGTATACACTGCCCTACCCAGAGAACTGACCTTTGGGTCAACTTGTCTATTGTCGAGGAGTAATGGTTAGAGGCTCGGATTAAGGAATTGGAGATCCGAGTTCGAATTCCAGTTGTATCCATTACATTAATTTATGTGCTAATACCCTTGTGAAAGGCATGAATCCTCTTCTTCTCCCCCCAGATATGGGTAAATAACAGGACAGTCCGGGTTCTATACTGGTCTATGGCAGAAAGTGATGGCAACCTCGTCAGTCATGTATCGAAAGATACATGATCGCCTAAGAGTGTATCACGCATGGCACATAACTGACTGAGTCTATTGTCTCGTAGACCGCAACCGAAAACACGTCATTATCTTTTGGTAGAAATAATGACAGTTCACACATTGAAGAATTTTGTGGAGCGCCATGACCGGCTTCGTCCTGAAGCGATATGATATTTAAATATTCTGTTGCGTTTTTTTTTTTTTTGGGGGGGGGTCGCACTAATTTCCTTGGAAAAATAATTAATCTGTTAATCTCGCCGTTCTAACCTATAAGTGAAATAGAATCATAGATTTCGCTTTCTATCCTTGACTGGCAAGAAATCTTGGAGATAGAAAACTCTGATTTCAAATCCGTGAAACCGATCTATTATCTTTCCAAAGAAGTGATAACGATTCAAAAGATCATAATGGCAGTTCCCCGGTTGAAGAAATATGCAGCGAGCCATGATCGGCTTCTTCCTAAAGCGATATGACATTTAAATATGATAAAAAGAACGTATTTGATTGTCGACGTGGACAGTAAAAATGGTGAGGCGGGTTCAATTCCTGCTCTGTTGCGATTTTTTTTTTGTTTTTTTTTTTCACTAATTTCCGTGGGAAATAATTAATTAATCCCTTCCAAGCTATAAGTGAAATAAAAGTGTAGATTGCGCCCCCTAGACTTGATTGGCAAGAAATCTTGTAGATAGAAAACCCTGAATTAAAACCCGTGAAACCAATGTATTATCTTTCCCAAAAAGTGATCGCGATTCAAATGTCCATAATAAAAATGATTCTGTGGAGAGCCATGACCACCTACACACTGAAGTAACACGTCACTTCAGAAGAAATCTAAATTATTGTATTTTTTTTTAATCAGTACTACCTAATGTAAGACAGTAAAGCCCCTAAAATACAGAGGGTTACAGGGTGTGGAAGAATTAGGAACAGAAACATTAATAATGATTGGGAAAAGGAAAGAGTAGTCAGAAGGACAGTAGATGGCGATTGATATTGCATTTAAACATTTGAAGATTGAAAGCATGGAGCCGAAATGGAGTTCCACAAGCAAGAAGTGCGTGAAAAGAAACCGCAAGCATAGAATTTACGACTAAATCTAGCCAGCTCACCTATAAATTGATGAGCCTCGACGTCAGTCTGTTATTGCGCTTAAATTCAAAAAGTCTAGGTGCCATAGCGAAGAGCTCATCCGAACAATTACTATGAAAGTATTTGCAGAAAAAGACACAGAGAGGTAACCTTAAGGCGGTGGGAAAGAGATAGTAGCTGAGCTGCCAGACCACGACCGATAATATTGCTGATTCTTTTTTGAATTTTATGAAGAAGCTTAAGTTAAATATCAACAGCACCAGGCAATATGTGGCAGATACAGAGAGGCAACCATAAACCGATGAGAAAGTGACTGAAGTTGAGCTGCCAGATCAGGACCGATAATATTGCTGATACTTTTTTGAATTTTATGAAGAAGCTTAAGTTAAATATCAACGGCACCGGATATGTGGCAGATACAGAGAGGCAACCTTGAACCGATGGGAAAGTGACTGAAGCTGAGATGCCAGATCAAGACGTACAATATTGCTGATTCTTTTTTTGAATTTTATGAAGAAGCTTCATTTAAATATCAACGGCAACGGATTATATGTGGCAGATACAAAGGGGAAACCTTAAAGCGGTGGTAAAGTGAATGAAGCTAAGCTGCCAGATCAGGACCGATAATATTGCTGATTCTTTTTCGAATTTTATGAAGAAGCTTAAGTTAAATATCAATAGCAGCAGACCAAATGTGGCTGCATGTAATATTGTAAGCATGGTCCTATCGTAGACTTATATATATGTAAGATAGTTTCTAAATTGAAATTATGCCGCAGGACACCGAGAACCGGTTTTCATAGCGACGGACTCAAAATATTCTTTCCACTTCATGTCAACTGAGAACGTTAGCCCGAGAAAGCACAACAAGTCACTTTCCTGGAGGCTAGCATTAGACAAAAATGATTATTTTTGAACTTGAAACTGAGTCTGGTACTGCAATCGAATCCTCTAAATTATATGGAAATGAATTTTCCATCATTGTATTCAAATAGTAACAATTCCATTGAATTTTTGCTTTTCATTTACAGGAGCAATAAATTAAGACCTGTCCATTTCTACTGTTACTGCGCGTAGGAAAAAGTTACTAATTTACGGGCAGCGGTCGTCTATTAATTAACATATTATTCATGAGATCCGGCGTATTTAGACGGGAAATAAGAAAACCCGAGGCCGTCTAGCGAGTTGGCATGTCAGCATGAAAAACAGACTAAGTGACCGTAGCGCCACCAAGCGCTCAAAGGCGGAACTAAATCGTTGATCAACCGCTAATCAACTGATTTATATTCAAAGATTTCGCGCTATTTTTTTCTTTCATATATTTTATTCATATTCCTTTTGACCTCAATCAAAGTCAGTGTTATTGAGCTGAGCCGTATCATTTGTCTAGAAGCATTACTGCCATTCATTTTCAAAATGATCAAGAAAATTTGGTTTTCCTCGTTTTTTTTTTTTTTTTTTTTTTCGGACGTTGGTAATCATGTCTCTCCACAATCTCCTGTCCGTTGTATGTCTTAATAAATTTCGTCCTTCGGTTATCTATCTGCTATACTTGTTCATTTACTGAAGTTCGTTGAGTGGACCCTGCGTCTTTTTTTTCCTCTGTCTCATGGTTACGGCCACATCACGCTGAAACACCGGTACGACCACAGAAGTTAAGCAACGTCGAGCCCGGTCAGTACCTAGTTGGGCAACCGCTTGGGAATACCAAGTGACGTAAGCTTGGATGTGCGGATGGTGTAATGGATAATGGCTCGGAATTGTTAATCGGAGAACAGCGTTCCAATTCACGTTGGGTTCATTTATTTAATTATGCACAAATACCCTTGGAAAAAGAAGGAATTCAATTCTTTCCCCCAGCTATGGGTTAATTAGTAAAACGTGTATCACTGAATATTATTAACTCCAAAAATAAATTTTAACAATACTTTATTAGCTACGCTTTATAGATGAATAAGATCTGATGAAAACTCCAACTGCAATAATATTTGTTATGAAAAATGTTCTGGCTAATAATATGCTTTCACTAATCTTGAAAAAAACAAAACAAAGCATATCCATATTCTCTTTCAGTAAATATTTTTCATCAAAAAAATATGTTTTTACCCTAGTTAAAGTACGATAATGGATAGAGGCTCGGATTGAGGAATCAGAGAGCCGAGATCGAATTCCAGTCGAATCCATTACATTCACTTAGGTGCTAATACCCTTGGGAAAGGTATGAATCCTCTTCTTCACTCCCCAGATATGGGTAAATAGAAGGACATGCCGTGTTCTACCGCGCGTGTATAGATAGAGGCACGGTGGAGTAATGGATAGAGGCACGGATTGAGGAATCAGAGAGCCGAGATCGAATTCCAGTCGAATCCATTACATTCACTTAGGTGCTAATACCCTTGGGAAAGGTATGAATCCTCTTCTTCTCCTCCCCAGATATGGGTAAATAGAAGGACATGCCGTGTTCTACCGCGCGTGTATAGATAGAGGCACGGTGGAGTAATGGATAGAGGCACGGATTGAGCAATCAGAAAGCCGAGATCGAATTCCAGTCGAATCCATTACATTCACTTAGGTGCTAATACCCTTGGGAAAGGTATGAATCCTCTTCTTCTCTCCCCAGATATGGGTAAATAGAAGGACATGCCGTGTTCTACCGCGCGTGTATAGATAGAGGCACGGTGGAGTAATGGATAGAGGCACGGATTGAGGAATCAGAGAGCCGAGATCGAATTCCAGTCGAATCCATTACATTCACTTAGGTGCTAATACCCTTGGGAAAGGTATGAATCTCTTATTCTCTCCCAGATATGGGTAAATAGAAGGACATGCCATGTTCTACCGCGCGTGTATAGATAGAGGCACGGTGGAGTAATGGATAGAGGCACGGATTGAGGAATCAGAGAGCCGAGATCGAATTCCAGTCGAATCCATTACATTCACTTAGGTGCTAATACCCTTGGGAAAGGTATGAATCCTCTTCTTCACTCCCCAGATATGGGTAAATAGAAGGACATGCCGTGTTCTACCGCGCGTGTATAGATAGAGGCACGGTGGAGTAATGGATAGAGGCACGGATTGAGGAATCAGAGAGCCGAGATCGAATTCAGTCGAATCCATTACATTCACTTAGGTGCTAATACCCCTTGGGAAAGGTATGAATCCTCTTCTTCTCCTCCCCAGATATGGGTAAATAGAAGGACATGCCGTGTTCTACCGCGCGTGTATAGATAGAGGCACGGTGGAGTAATGGATAGAGGCACGGATTGAGGAATCAGAGAGCCGAGATCGAATTCCAGTCGAATCCATTACATTCACTTAGGTGCTAATACCCTTGGGAAAGGTATGAATCCTCTTCTTCTCTCCCCAGATATGGGTAAATGAAGGACATGCCGTGTTCTACCGCACGTGTATAGATAGAGGCACGGTGGAGTAATGGATAGAGGCTCGGATTGAGGAATCAGAAAGCCGAGTTCGAATTCCAGTCGAATCCATTACATTCACTTAGGTGCTAATACCCTTGGGAAAGGTATGAATCCTCTTCTTCTCTCCCCAGATATGGGTAAATAGAAGGACATGCCGTGTTCTACCGCGCGTGTATAGATAGAGGCACGGTGGAGTAATGGATAGAGGCACGGATTGAGGAATCAGAGAGCCGAGATCGAATTCCAGTCGAATCCATTACATTCACTTAGGTGCTAATACCCTTGGGAAAGGTATGAATCCTCTTCTTCTCTCCCCAGATATGGGTAAATAGAAGGACATGCCGTGTTCTACCGCGCGTGTATAGATAGAGGCACGGTGGAGTAATGGATAGAGGCACGGATTGAGGAATCAGAAAGACGAGATCGAATTCCAGTCGAATCCATTACATTCACTTAGGTGCTAATACCCTTGGGAAAGGTATGAATCCTCTTCTTCTCTCCCCAGATATGGGTAAATAGAAGGACATGCCGTGTTCTACCGCGCGTGTATAGATAGAGGCACGGTGGGAGTAATGGATAGAGGCACGGATTGAGGAATCAGAGAGCCGAGATCGAATTCCAGTCGAATCCATTACATTCACTTAGGTGCTAATACCCTTGGGAAAGGTATGAATCCTCTCTTCTTCTCTCCCCCAGATATGGGTAAATAGAAGGACATGCCATGTTCTACCGCGCGTGTATAGATAGAGGCACGGTGGAGTAATGGATAGAGGCACGGATTGAGGAATCAGAAAGCCGAGTTCGAATTCCAGTCGAATCCATTACATTCACTTAGGTGCTAATACCCTTGGGAAAGGTATGAATCCTCTTCTTCTCTCCCCAGATATGGGTAAATAGAAGGACATGCCGTGTTCTACCGCGCGTGTATAGATAGAGGCACGGTGGAGTAATGGATAGAGGCACGGATTGAGGAATCAGAAAGGCGAGTTTGAATTCCAGTCGAATCCATTACATTCACTTAGGTGGTATGAATACCCTCTCCCCAGATATGGGTAAATAGGGACATGCCGTGTTCTACCGAAGATAGAGGCACGGTGGAGTAATGGATAGAGGCACGGATTGAGGAATCAGAAAGACGAGTTTGAATTCTCCAGTCTCCATTACCACAGATACCCTTGGGAAAGGTAAATCCTCTTCTTCTCCTCCCCAGATAGGGTAAATAGAAGGACATGCCGTGTTCTACCGCGCGTGTATAGATAGAGGCACGGTGGAGTAATGGATAGAGGCACGGATTGAGCAATCAGAAAGCCGAGATCGAATTCCAGTCGAATCCATTACATTCACTTAGGTGCTAATACCCTTGGGAAAGGTATGAATCCTCTTCTTCTCCCCAGATATGGGTAAATAGAAGGACATGCCGTGTTCTACCGCGCGTATAGATAGAGGCACGGTGGAGTAATGGATAGAGGCACGGATTGAGGAATCAGAGAGCCGAGATCGAATTCCAGTCGAATCCATTACATTCACTTAGGTGCTAATACCCTTGGGAAAGGTATGAATCCTCTTCTTCTCTCCCCAGATATGGGTAAATAGAAGGACATGCCGTGTTCTACCGCGCGTGTATAGATAGAGGCACGGTGGAGTAATGGATAGAGGCACGGATTGAGGAATCAGAAAGACGAGTTTGAATTCAGTCGAATCCATTACATTCACTTAGGGTGCTAATACCCTTGGGAAAGGTATGAATCCTCTTCTTCTCCTCCCCAGATATGGGTAAATAGAAGGACATGCCGTGTTCTACCGCGCGTATAGATAGAGGCACGGTGGAGTAATGGATAGAGGCACGGATTGAGCAATCAGAAAGCCGAGATCGAATTCAGTCGAATCCATTACATTCACTTAGGTGCTAATACCCTTGGGAAAGGTATGAATCCTCTTCTTCTCTCCCCAGATATGGGTAAATAGAAGGACATGCCGTGTTCTACCGCGCGTGTATAGATAGAGGCACGGTGGAGTAATGGATAGAGGCTCGGATTGAGGAATCAGAGAGCCGAGATCGAATTCCAGTCGAATCCATTACATTCACTTAGGTGCTAATACCCTTGGGAAAGGTATGAATCCTCTTCTTCTCTCCCCAGATATGGGTAAATAGAAGGACATGCCGTGTTCTACCGCGCGTGTATAGATAGAGGCACGGTGGAGTAATGGATAGAGGCACGGATTGAGGAATCAGAAAGACGAGTTTGAATTCCAGTGAATTCCAGTTTTGATCATTAGAAATGGTATGCCATTTCCTGTTTTGAACACCATTATACCCAGCGTTTTGTTATAAATCCATTACAACAATGATACCCAAACTTATCTGGTCCGAGTTTTCGGAATGAAAATATGCTCGCGCCTCACCAAAGGTAAGTCCCCCTGAAAAGACGCAAGCAGCCCTAAGGTAAAGAAGGTGTTGAATGACGGTTAAAAGAAGATAACCACAGATTCGAAGTCAGAACCTTAGCATTGATAACTCTCTCCTCCAATTTGCAGACTCTAGCTGTTGGAAATTTTGGGTACTAGTAAGCCAGCCTGACTCATTTTATAGTTCACCAATAGAAGGGTTAACCAATCAGAAGGCTCAAAATATTCAATGCGACGTGTATAAAGGCAGCCATGTTTTTCCCGAATACTCACTGCCAGCCTTTGATAACCCGGACGAGGCTCCGCCGAAGGGCAGAATCTCGTTCGGGGAGGTTGACTGCCCCTGAACCCGTTTATACGCGTTCGAATAAGGAATATTTTTAGCCGAGCCTACGGGCGCGGAGATCCCACGTTAATCCCGGCCTTGTGCCACATGTAGCCCTCGTGGGGGGGGGGGGGGCTAAATATCACTGCCATCGAAGACTGAAGAATTACGGAACAGCTGCTTGTGGCATTGGCGATATAGTCAGATTCAGTGGAGTGTCTGACTCGTGAGTGTTAATCTTTAACGTTGTTTCATTGAACAGATTACGTACTGCGCTGTATTCTATATTCATAGACTATGATTAACACTAGCTGATATATTCTTAATACTTGATATAATCCCAAAATATCACAATCATAAAATCAGTCAGGAATTATTTATAACTATTTATACTGGGACTCATGGATGCAATTAAAAGTAATTTATAAACATATTTTAAATTTTGAAATCATATTTCTTTTTGGCATATGATTTTTTAAAAAACTGTTTCTAAATCGTACTTTGTATTTCAATCATTCAGCCTCACCTGCTGCCCTCTTCCGGCACACCTATGAGGCGCTGCCTTACA